CACCTGCTGACGTGACAGGCACAAGCTGGTATAGAAAACACATTTGAACTTGGTCACAGCTCATTCTGCAAGTCCAATGCTGCAGGCAAAGCCATGATGCAATGACATGCTACGTGGCAATGCACACTTGTTTTTACATCGTTAAAAACCCATGTCTAGTTGTTTCTTATTTTTTTTATCATTTATTTCTGTAAACTTTTTTTTTCAAAACAATGAGCTCATTCAGGAGATGGGTGCTGTGACTTTTGGTTTTGTAACTTTTACACATTTCAAAGTGATTAGATTCACCAGTATTTTTGCTCTTTTTAGCATTTAGCTAGCATTTTGCCACTTTAAGCTAGTCTTTGATTACTCTTAACTCCTCGTAAACCTTTTGATACTTTTAGTTGACGTTTTGTTGCTTTGGGGTATTTTACTTTTAGCTTTTCACTACCAAATTAGCAGCACGATGGGTCAGTGGTTAGCACTGATGCCTCACAGCAAGACAGTCCTGGGTTCAATCCCCCGTTTGGACCTGGAGTCTTTCTGTTTCTGTTTGGAGTTTGCACGTTCTCCTCGTGCTTCTGGGGTTTTCCCCCTAGTACTCCGGTTTCCCCCACCCCCAAAAACATGGACAATAGGTTGCCTTCAGGCCTCTCTTGAAAAAGAGATCTGCAATCTTGATGGGATTTTAACTGGATAAAAAACAGTAAATAAATTGCTGCCTTTAGCCTTTAGCTAGTACTTTGATGCTATTGCCTTTTAGTTAATGTGTTTATTATAGCTTTAACAACACAGTTGTAGCTTCTTTGACCAATTTCAGCCCTCATGTTTCTCTCTGCATTATTTTTTTTCTCTTGGTTGTTTCCCAGCAGAAGAGTCAGGCTTAATTCTGACTTGCTGAAACTGCAAATGTTTGGTTTTTTAATGCAAGTTTGATATTTGTGCTCATCAGGAGGGCCACACATCCATGATAACAACCCTGCTGCAGCTGGGGGCGGATCTTCAGGTTCGGGACAAGAAGGGACGAACTGGTGAGAAATTACTCATTTTTTTCATTTAACTACTGGGAAACTGCAAATTTTCTCTTCACACAAATAACATGATTTAAAAACTTTACTAAAACAACTTGTAAATAAAGTAAAGTTCTATGAAGAGACATATGACAGTCATACTGGTTAACACCTGCTGGCACAATGTGAAGGCAGTGGATAAGGGTTTGCCTTTTTGTGTGTATTTGTCCTTGTATTTGTTACCTTGTAAGGCCCATTTGTCCAAAACATACTATCTTGTGAGGACCCACTGCTCGTTAAAGCACGAGTCCCGTAAGTTCAAATGCCTTTGGCGGGTTAGAGGTTTGGTTTAGGACTAAGATGTATATAAATATGTACAAACCTTAACCTAACCTAAGCTCAACTCACTTTAGTCCTATCCTCTAACCCACCAACAGCATGTTAGGTTTAGGTCAGTGGTGTCAAAGTCAAGGGCGTAACTTTCTGAAGGACTGGTGTGGACATGTCCCCAYCAACTTTGGCCGGACAGGGACAGTCCTCACCAATATTCACACATCTTTTTTCCTTTGCGTACTTCTACATTTCCTGACAGTAACGCGCTTCAGGCCGGCAGCAACTGCTGTGTCTACCTTTTTCCGTGAAAAAAACAAAAACAAAAAACGCTGCGCCGCTACCTCCCTTCTGCCCCCTCCCCGCTCCTGCTTCTCATCTAGCGCCGCTGCGAGCCACCTTCCCCCTCACCTCCCTCCTTCCTTTTCTCTGAAGTGCAGACACACACACACATGGGGGGGGGGGGGGGGGGGGTGCTAGCTGCTTGCTGTAAAACAACGTGGTGGTCAGAGCCTCGGAGCTACTGGAACAGGTAATGGTCTGACAACTTCCAGCTCCTGGAAAAACTTTATTCTTTACAAAGGACCAAAAATAAGTCAAAAAGTAGGACAGTTATTTTTCTTATGAAAAGTCAGCTTGCTGCTACTTACAGCGGGTAAAATAAGTATTGAACACGTCACCATTTTTCTCAGTAAATATATTACTAGAGGTGCTAATGACATGAAATTTTCACCAGATGTCGGTAACAACCCAAGTGATCCATACATACAGGGCCGGATTAATACTTCGCTGTACCCTGGGCAAC